GCCCCAGCCACAGCGCTCGCTAGAAAGGTTTGCAGTTTCGACAGACAGGCAGCCGAGCGACACTCCGTATCTGCTTCAGTCGAGAGCAGGCCTGCTCAGCAGCCTTCTCTCCCTGCCACCTCCGAGCCTCCTTCTGCCCAGCCCTGCAGGACGCAGGGCAGAGAGCGGCATTCCCAAATCATTAACAGCCAGTCTCCTCAAACAAACAAGGGAGGACGACTCCGGAACAGGAACAGGCCAGAGCCCCGGGGGCTGCGTCCTTCCAGCGTTCAAATCAGACACGTGCTGCCAACAATGGAAATGCCCCTCAGCATGCTGCAAAGCCCAAACTGGCACGTCAGTGCCAGCCTGGGCACTGCTGCCAGTAACAGAGCTGTCCCAGGGGACCTGGGAGCCACAGCAGGATGTGACACAGCGACACGGTGCAGGGCTCTGCTTGCGGAAGATTAGAGAAACAGAAAACGCCGTGGAATACGGCAAAGATGTCTCGGCTTGGCCTAGGGCCGTGCCTGACCAGGAGACAGTCATTTTGTGAGGTGTTCCACTGGTGCACCTCCATGTGGGAAGACCGTAAGGATCTGCGTATTTATAAAGCGTCACAGGCATCAGACTTCTCAAAAAATAAAACTAAACTTCAACTAAGTGGACTTCCTAAGCTATTTGCATTATTAAAGTCTACTACTGAGCAACCAAATACTCCTGTGCATAAAGCAGGAGAACATGAGTCAAGGGCTGCACTTTCTGGAAGGAAAATTTAGAGACTCAACCAGCAACAGCCAGTGGGGGGAAAATATTCATTATTTGGTCAAAGTGGCATTGGGCTTGTGAAAGTCATACACAATCTATCAAGCAAGAAAGAATCCGGGATCTTCTACAGAAGACCAGGACAGCAATATTAATTAGTTTTGTTTATTATTAACTACATTTGTTAAGCAATATTCATTTCTCAGCAGCATCCCCTCCAGCTGCCTCCAGCTCCCAGAAGGCACGCGGGTGCGTTTATTCACTCTGCTGCACTTTCCTGTATGCTGTAAACAGAAGCTGGTACAAATTCCTCAGCACCTGGATCATCCCCACAAAGACCCGCTGCCAAGAGGACGCGGCACCCAGGACCACTGAGGAGTCACCACCAGTGACCACCAGTCACCCTTCCTGCCTCTGCCGCAGATCCCGCCCTGGGGTCCCCAACACAGTCATCGCTTCTTGTTGCTGAAACTGGCAGAGAGATACCAGAAACTGAGTCACAGCTGTTACCGCGCTCATAAATGCATCCAGATGTTTCCCTTTCTATCACATGGAGCTTCGCATCAAGACGGTGCCTTACTGTCACCACAGGGACAACGCCTGTACAATCTCTGGGACTACGTTCCAATCAGGCAAGACATGACGTCGCATGGTTGTCCCCTGAGTGATCCAAACCTCCCAGGTTTAGGAAGCAAGACGTTTGAACCTTGGTTGAGTACTTTGGAGGTTAAGTCTAAACTGGCACCCAGCCACCCCCTCGCTAGGTGCCCAATCTAAATGTGCACAAGTGTCAAACGCCTTCTGAACAAGTCCTCTTGGGAAACAGACATCTTACCTTTGGCGTGGAAAGTCCACCCAGCCCTGGAGTACTCCTGCAGCTGGACCCTCTCCTGTTGGTGAAGGTAGCAGACTTCACTGTAAAATTGGTGTTCAATGTAAACATAGGCAGCAGGGATGGCACCTGCCACCCCTTTGGCACCAAAAAAGCCATTCACCTCTGGTGAGGCCAGAAGAATCCGATACTCAGCCCTCGTGCCCAGAATGAGGTCCATGTAAGCTTGTGTCAGGTTGAAGTAGCCAGTGGTAAGGTATATCCTGGCATCCCGTTCAGCCTCTGTCAGCAGTGTCTCTGTGACCATCTCATCTATTTGAATCCCAAAAGGTTTCATTTGGATTAAGGGGTAGATCCAGGTGTCAGGCTCCGGTTTCAGACCCCCGGATGCCTGAGAGCCTTGCTGGGATAACAAGGAGCTGCCTTGCTGGCTGCTGTGAAAAGTCTTTGCGTGAAGGAGTTCTTGTCGTGACCTGGCAGAGTTGATCACCTCCATGACTCTTCGGTTTGCTATCTCACAATAAGCCATCTTGTCTCCTGCAGGGAAACCACCAGAGATCACGTTTGAGACCTAAAGGTACAGAGCTACACATCACCCATTCTGCAGCAGGAAAAACTACTGACAGGACACCCATATTGGAGCCAACACCAAGACCACACAACTTTCTGCCCTAAGTCTGACGAAGAGATGCTTCAATGTTAGCAAAGCTACGTTACAGAAGAAAAGCATTCAGCTTTAAGAGGGGTAAGAAACTTGACAAGCAGCAGCTTGAAAAAATCCACTGAGTAAGGAAAAGACCAAGGCAAAGCTAAAATGGTAACCAAGAACGAACTGGAACATACGGAATAAACTTCTGCCCACAGTCTAAGCTTGCATCACACAGCAGTGCACAGAGAGATGCCCTTCTCTGCCCACTTCAACACTTGTTCTCAGTCTTCCTAATTCGGTGTCCACTTGATTCCCAGAACAGACTCAACTACAAAACATTGGTTACCAAGAACAGCACTACATTCATGAAGCTTCCCGACTATGCACGCACAGAACATGTAGAATTATATAAACATTACTATCAACAATAGAAGGAACCTTTCAAGGAACCCAAGTTCTTGTTTAAGGTCATAAGCAGCAGAATTACAAAGAAGCACTGAGACAGTTACAGAGGAATTTTAGCCTTTGCACTCTGCCAGATTAGCTGGTGACAGCCGCCACGCTAGGAACACTCTGTCAGATCCAGTCTCAAAACCCAAGTGATCCTGATTTTAATAACAGATGGCACAGAAACGGGACACACTGCAGTCTGTAAACAACGGTCAGACACTCAGCAATCCACAAATGGGTGGAATTCAAGTCATCCTTAATCCATGGCTGTCACTCCCCTGCTCTGGATCACACCATCCAACCAGGTAAGACACCTCCCTCCTACCTTGGTACGGGTGTACCATCCCCTCCATCATCTGGACTGTATCATCTCGCTGCAATTGCAGAGACACGTCTCCAATCGCATCCACTAGCTCCGTGAAGAAGTCTGCAATCTCAGGAGAGTCCTGCAGGAGGACATAGCGGTCCTGACGATTGGTGAAGTACAAATCACTCAGGTTTGCGCTAGAAGAGAAAGAGAAGAGTTGAGTTCCAGAACAGAGCACAGGCACATGTGAACACCCCAGCCTAGGTTACAGATCTCACCCTGCATATAAACTGGGCTAAAGTACAAACTGGTCATTTCCTTTTGAATCACAAGAAATATCTCTTTTTTCCTTTTGAGAAAGACTCTTTCATATGAGAATCCCAAATGGAAGAGCTAAGGCTTCCATCTCAGAAGAGCATTGACACGATCACTACAGGAAGACTAGATGCAAATAATGAAGCTCAGACAACGCTGGTAGCACGTACCAGCTGGTACCAACGCTGGTAGCACCTTGCCTCAAAACCTCAGCTAAGTGAACCATATAAGGGCCTGAAGAACCAGAACTCACCCGCTCAGAATCACGTTATCATCAAAGAGATAGACCTTGATGTGCTGCAGTCCAATGGTCTCATTAAAACGCTCTGGAATCAAGAGCTTGAGAAGTCCACGCAGGTTTGGGGTGTGGAAGAGCGACACACGGACTTGCTCAGGGAATCGCTGCAGCAATGGAATTAGCATTGTTCGAGAATTCTTCCGGCCTGGGAGACAAGGGGAGTTTCACACACAGGATCACGCCAGACAGGGGATACATCATGGCATGCCACCACAGCTCCTCAGCTAGAAACTGGTTATGGAAGGAGCACCCATCTCATCTGTTGGAACTTAACACAGTTTCCTTTTTTTATTTTTAAATTGCTTTCATTTGCACTACGTCACCATTGAAACTGACATCCAGAACTGTAAGCTGTTTGATAAACGGGCCTTGGAAACCATCACTGAGCAGGTCTGACACCATTCAAGCTTCTTAATCAAGACACATCTAGCAGCAGAAACACATGCTGCAGAGTCACCACAAAAGTTTCTTGTTAAATGTAATGCTACTTCCAACAATTACCACTTTCCTTTAGACACAAAAATATAAAAGAGCATGACAAATAAGGGCAAATCCACTGACAAGTGAACTAAGCAAACAAGAAAGCACAAGTTGCACAGAGCAGAGTTTGGCCCTTCTCACTCCTACTATCTATTTTTGGAAGAAAAGCAGCTCGGCTTGAAGATTTTCTGGGAATAAGAACTTATTGGTATGCAAAAGGCCAGTTTTGAAAAGTATATACTTTAAGCAAGTCCAATCAGCCAAGACAGTCTCTCTCTGAAAAAACCTGTTTATCCAGCCTAGCTGTAAAATAAATCTTTGAAGAAAGCAAAACCTCAGCATATCTACCCCGGGATCCTCTGGTGTAGTCAAGAAGAATGGAAACTCTGAGGTTAGACGATCCTTTTGCTTGCAGTGATTTCTCCAGCGTTTCTTCTAAGCAATCCACCTGCAGAGAGAGATTTCCCTACTCGTTAAGAAAGCAAATCAAGCTTTGTAAGGAAAGTATCCAGCAACCCGGAGGCCAGTGGCCACGAAAGCTTCCACACCCTAGAACGAGTCTTCCTAGTCATGCAAAACTCTGCTAGCTTAGACTTTGCATGGGTCAGACCAGCCCCCTGCTCCACCAGCCTAAACCAATTCATGAAAGGCCATCGATTTTACATGCACGTATTCTTCAAGCTCTAAACAGCAATTAATTTTGGCAGAAAATGTCCCAACATCATTCCCAAATCACAGATTTAAATCACCAAAGAGAAACTTTGGCAGGAGTTCACGAATGATGCAGAGGCAGTTTTATTCCTTAACTACAAGGCTGCTGGGCACATGCAAATTCAAACCCCGTGTGCAAGCCCAGACCAAGCCAGGCACAACCCTGAGCAGGGCTCCGTCCACCTTCACCCTGCTGTGGAACGTGCACTCGAACACGAGAAACTGGCCAAGGTCAGGCTTCTCCCTAAAGGTCTGAGGCAACGCTTTTGTTTCTGGAGGGAAGGACAGGAAACAGAAAAGGCAAACAACACGAAGGAAAGCTGACCTCTGTCCTAAATGTGGAGAGCTCATGCTGCATCTGCATACTGCACTTGCAGGACAAGACACAGCACTACGTACATACGACTTTAATCGTGTCCAAGAAAAATGCCAGAAAAAATTAGCCATGATCGAACAGTTCTGCAAAAGCCCTTTGAACACCATGCCAGCAACCTCTAACAGTCTGAAGGATTCAGGCTCCTTATCCCGTGGAAAAGTTCAGTAGTTCCATGGCTCTGCACTAGGCCTAAAACTGAAACTCCATACGCCTCCATTCCAAATTCCTTCCTCCCCCACCCCATGTGCAAGTACACAAACACAGCCAGGAACCACAAGAAAACCCTCAAGGAGAGGAGAAAACACTTGTAAAACGAATCCCTGTGTGAAAGTTTGAAGGACATTACAAGCTCACAGACTGCAGCTCACATGCCCCTCTCGTACCCGCCGGAACGGGACTCTCTTTGCAAAGGCAGGCGATTTCTTTCTGCACTCACCTTCTCCCCTTCCCAAACCCTCTCCACACTCACCAGCTCCTGTTCGAGGAGCCCCGTTCCCAGGTATAGCGAAGCCATCACCACTCGCTGCTTGGCTGTTTTTATCTGCACCTGGGAGAAGCAAAAAATCAGTTCGGTCTCATCCTCGGTCTCTGATCACCAGGAGCTCATGATCCAGAGCACGGACAAGCTGTGGTTCCCCCGAGGAGACCACTTGTCTCCCTTGTCTTGCAGAAGGAAAGGAACAAGGATAACACATTGCTATTTACAGAGCAGCACCATTGCTGTATCCAGAAATCAAGGAAGAAATCAATGCTTTCTGGAAAACCGAGGAACACGTTCCCGGCAGCTAAAACTACGACACACAAGAGCGGCTGTCAGGCAGCAGCTGCAGCACCGGGACGGTGTCAGTACCGGCAATCCCAGCGCTCATTCTGCAGCGGCTCTAGTCCTTTGCACCCGATCCTGTGAGCTAGCTAGAACCTAGAGACCTTTGTTCACAGAGCTCTCCTCCTTTCCCCGTGCTCCACTGACACCGCAGGGGTGGCAGCGGCTGCCTTCACGGCCCACCTAAGCCGCCTTCTCCAACAGCTTCGCACGGCCAATCCAAGATCACGTTCCAGAGGTACTGGAACCTGCTATAAATACGCATCGTGAAAAGACTCGAGCAACTGAGCTAAACAAAGACATTCTCACCTCAGCCCTGCTGCTCACCTAAGAGGTGTGGTGTTACGGGATTCACACTGGAACGACCCGAGACCTTTGGGAGGGGCTGAGGAGATGGTTTGTACTGCGAAGAGGAGGCTGGGGGGGCTGACCGAACAGCAGCCTGCAACTACTCGAAGAGTAGTTACAAGGATGATGGAGCTAAACTCTTCTTGGTAGTTACAGCTGAGCAGCAGCCACTAACAGCTTCGTAAAGTTCAGGTCTGACACCAGAAAACCAACCTGTAAACTACTAAGGAGGTGCAGCACTGGAATCGCTCACCCAGAAGCAGAACCTCCATCCTCAGCCGTTTCCAAGGCTAAGCTAGACAAAGCCTGCCTGTCAGGCTGATCTAGTGTTGCCTGCAATCCTGTTTCAAGTCAAAGATCAGACTAGTAACCTCCAGGTGCTCTAACAACTTGTCTACGATTCTCCATGACCACCGCAGCTCCCAGCTCTCAAAAACCATTCCCACAGCTTGGAAACTGCAACTCACCTTCAGGAGTTCATAGAATTCAGCTGGGGATGAAAGCACCTTGACACGTGAGCTGGAGATCCCAAACTCTGGAACCAGATTCCTGATCCACTGGAACCTGTGTGCTCCTTCTGGACAAAGGGAACACGGTGGGGCTGTGATCACAGGAACAGGAGGGGTGAGCAACGGGGCTAGAAGCAGCCATGATGATCTGTGAAGAGAAAGATGGAGAAAGTCTGTATGATGGAGCCTTTGCTTCCCGCAAACAAGGAGGTAAAGAGTGAGCTGCAACCAGGGCCAATACATTGCAAGGATCCACAATGGCAGAATGCCTTTCCCTTTCCAAAATCCCAGCTGAATCACCAAAGCCAAATCTAGAAACAGAACACCACAAGAAAAAGGTGAGAACACAGATCTTGACATGATCAGCTCCTTCCCCTAACTGGCAGGGGAGGTGAAGGGAAACTACTTTTTCGTCAGAACAGGAACACAGGAGAGGAAACATGCTGGAAGCTGAAGAAACTGAGGATGTGAACTCTTTCAAACACCCACAAACCAGACATCTGGTGGTGCCAGGGTGGCACCAGCTATCCCTGCAATTAGTCACTTCTGAACTGTCTTTATCACACGTGTCAGTTTTGCCACGGCCAACAGCCACCTTCACGCCCAGCTTGGTTCTCAGCCAAGGATTAGTTGTTTCTATTTCAGGTAAAGATGTTTTAAAAATCACCCTTCTCTAAAAGTTCCTTGACGAAACAGAAAAAACACCTCGACCCCTCAAACATACCCAAAAAAAGATCTACAACACACAAAGTGCCTGAACGCAAGTGCTAGCAAAAGCCATGACGTCGCAGCACCGGAATGACATCCCAAAGGATCGAGGCAGTAGGATCCTCTACAAGGATGCACTTGCGTATGCATGAGCACTGAAAGAAGGTCAAGACTTCTCTTACAAACTTCAAAGTGGCTGCAAGGGAAACAGCAGGAAGCTCATTCTTTAGAAAGAAATTTCAGAACAAATTTAATCCCTTTGAAGTTGCTCAGTGAAGAAACCACCTTCCTGCTAACAGCCATGCTTAGAGGGGTGACAAGAAGCACACGGCACCTCTGCTTCTCCGGAGGCTTAGCATGGAAATCCATCCAGTCATACAATAACCGCTGGTGGGAGTCTGTCCACACGGCAAAACCACATTTCAGCACGGTTCGCAGCAGCAGCTCCCAGGAGACCCAGGAACCGGTGAGCAAAGGACTGAACTGCACCCCCGAACCTGACAGGAAACATTCTGGTCTGCGAACCCTCCTCGCAGGAATCCGCCTCGCCGCCAGGGCACAACCGGGGCGGCCGGTCTTATCCTGGAGGAATGCCAGGTCCCACAGGCCGCTGCTGTCTTGTGCCCCATCCCGATGCGTTCTGCCACCACCACATACCAAGAAAAAACTTGACTATGACCTTTACCAGAATTCATAACGAGGAACGTTTAGGTTTTACCGCACTCCAAAGCCCCAATGACCAGAGATTCCAGGAAGATGATTTCACTGGTTTGCTTCATGATAAAACACTGGATCTTCACACAAGGTTTCCGAACACCCTTACACAGAAGCCAGAGAGTTTACAGTTGCATTTCCTGGAAAATCCACTAGTTTGTCACCGACTATTCATCGCAACAGAAATCTGAGTCAGTTTGTGCAAGAATTCCTACAATGGTGGTTTTCAACAGCTCATGTGGACCAGGCTCAGACTCGGCACCCAGAAGTCACACAGATTACCAGCACGGGCTGTTAAAAGCAATGGAAATATTTCACAGAAGATGTTTTACCAAAAAAAAACCACCAAATCAAAGCAGAAAAGAAATATAAGAAATACAGTTTTCCAAGCACATTCTAGTCAATATTCACAGAACCAGAGCAGGACCTTTGCGCATCTTCACTCAACTCTCGTCCCGAGGCACAGGCCACGCGTCGGGAGCAGAGACCCAGCGCCACGCTACCGCCACGCGAGCCAGGCAAACGGCGAGGGAGGCCGAGCGACCTGAACTCAGACTGGCATCCCAACACTTTTTAAAAACAATAAAACACTCGGCTTGCAGAGCAGTAACACAGCCAGGGCTATAACCCAGCCCTGCGGATCACAAATTACATCCTCTGGAATTACTTCCACTGAGGTAACAGTGGCAAATTTTATGATAATTAATCAACAAGAGGAAATAAGTATTTTCCTTATTATTCCATTTGTCAATCCTGGCCAATTGCACATCCAGAAGCCAGTACAGTGGCTGAGAAGCCACTTTCCAGAAACATGATTCCAAGAAGCCATTTGCTGGCACAGAATAGGAAAACTGCAAGTTAAACTGCGCAACGTCGGGTTTATGGATTTACAAGGTGCCCCTCGGCAGTCCCTTCCCAGTGCTGCCAGGGAGTAAAATCCATCTGCATCACCAGCACGACTTGGTTTGAGCCTTCAGATCCCATCTATGCAGGTACTGGTATCCACTAATTCCCTACTCTGGATTTTTTCCTGCCTACGCAGTTCAGAGCATATCTACGCTGATTGATCCTTTAATCCAATACTGAAATTCCAGAACCTACTTAGTGTTGAGAGCCTCAAGCTTTTACAATTATCAGATAAATCGGTCTTTTCCTTCAGCTGACAGTACCCATGGCTCAGCAACCGTCCAGCCAAGCGGCAGCTTCTGCGCCCCAGGGACTGAAAACAGCTCGAGCAACTACCCAAGCACGACACAATCCTTTCAACTACACAACAGTCAGAAACCACGTAACGTCATGAAGAAATCATCAAAATTCCATACTCCAACAAACCAGCTTTCAGAGAAACAGAAAACGGGGCGGGCGAGCCCTTCCCATGTACTCCACATCATCACGTTAACTGGAAAGAGAAAACAGAACTGAAAGGAACCACCTCAAATCTTTTCTGCATAAAAAGTTGGCCCTAAAAATAAACGCGGGATTTTTTTTGCATGTTCTATTTTTAAAAACTGTGGTTTTGGTAGAGAAACTCCTGATAGAGCTGAAAGACTCTTATTCAGTGTAAAACCTCATCTGTCGAACCAGAGGCGAAACGAAACTGCAGGATACGGCGTCGTCCTTTCACCCACACACATCACCACACCGGGCATCTACCAATCGCTCGTCTTTGAACTCAGTTCTCTTTCCAGGGCTCCGTCTGGCAATTTATCCGCGCTAAAACTCACTGATGAAACCAAAAGAGACGTTTGGAAATCATTTCCTTGGCTTAACCAGGAACATTCAGCAGAACATGGGCTAACGCAGAGCTCTGAGGCAACAGCGAGGATGACAGGAGCACATCTGCTGTCCGGGGGGCAAAGGAGAGCAAAGTCATGTCGCGATATGAGAGATATCGCGCTTACAGAAGGCAGTTTCACTCGTACAGAAGACTGTATCAGGCACCACACTAACTAAAACAAGACACGCAATCCTCCCAGAGCTCTCTTACCAAGTACAGTGCAAAGTGATGCCTGAAGACTGGGGGAAAAGATCTTTTTTTAAAGACTCCTTCGAGCGATTTGTTGCATCGCTTCTGAACCCCGGCCGTGCTTCTACAGAAACACAATCAT